AGGCTCTGCTCTGAGTGACTGAGACCTCTTTCTCCAGATCAGATTTCCCTATTTAATACCGTAGTGTAAATGAGTATTTGTAGAGGAGTGTGGGGTCTTTGGATCAGCTATGTCATACAAAGCTCTGACCCAAAGCCCACCGTAGCCCAGCAGAAAACTATCTCTGACGTTGCTTTCGTGTCCCCAGGAGTTAAAAAGACAAATTACTGTAAGCAGTTCCACATGTACTGTGGAACTGTAGTTTGTTAGTTTGAGTATAATGTCTTTCCACAAAACTGAAGAACAAAAAGCTACCTTGAAAAAAATAGCCATTGGGAAGCAGGGCAGCAAAAGCCAAGAAACTTGAGCCCTTTGCTAATGAATACTCTGTCCTTAACTCACATTGTCTCTTTTGTTTCCCACACTTTCATGAGCTGCACATGGATTCAATTTGCCAGTCTTAACCCTTCTTGCTGATGCCTGATCTGTACATAGTTTGGAAACTGGGACAGCTGTCACTTAGGTACTTGGCTTTGCTTTTATTATTTTGTTTTGCTGTCAACGTGTTTGCCCCGTGCAGTCTCTGGCATGGATGCAGTGAGGGAGCCCACGAGGTGCAGGTAACGTGTGGATGTGTGTGGGGAGAGGGAGAGAAGTCTTCCTGGGGAGGGGTGTAACAAGGATGGGCTCAGAGCAGGTTTGCTTGGGTTGAAGCGTGGTAGCTTCAGGGGAAGATGCCGGTGCTGCACTGGGCTTCTTTAAGAAGAGCTGTTTTTCTTGGCATAGCTCTGAAATTGATGGAAAGTCAGGAAGGAGCCAAGGAAGGAATCTGGCATCCTGGGAACTTCTCACACCAGCTTGTCTTTGTGCTGCAGCTCAGCAAAGTGCTTTCTGCAAAGCGAAGCATTAAACATCAGATGTTTATTTGCAACAGTGAAATTTATTCCAGCAAACGATGATTGACTGTAGTAAATACACTTCTTAGTAATGACTGTGTTGTTTCCAGAAACATAACTAGCTCTTAGTTGCTGTTTGCTCAGTTGGTAGGGATCTAATTAATCATCCTCTTACTGCAAAAATGGCATTTCACATTAAAAAACAATGCATTTTCTTGCCTCATTTCTCCTCTAGATAACTATTGAACAAAGATGACCAGCAGAGAGTGCTGGTGCTCTTCCAGAATCCTGCAGAAGCTTCTGAAATGGTGTAAAATCAAATCAGATTTTGTTCTGTAATTCTATTTTTAGTTTTTTTTAACATAAAATGCTAATGAACTATCTGTTACTTGATATCTTGCTGCCGCCTCTAATTATGAATCTTTCTGTAGCTCACTAAAGGAGAAAGACTGCTTTCAGAAGAGCACTATACGCAGAGAAACTGTAATTGCCACTTTTTGAAGCAATTATTTAATAGAATTTTGTTTTGCTCTAATGCATTGGCTCTTTTTTATACACAGCATTTTCTCTCCTTTTATTCCTCCTCTTTATTTTTCATTGAAAGTAATCTGTTTTCTATTCAGCACAGCTTCTGCCTAGTGGAAGAAGGTAGCCCCGTTCCTGCAGACAGCAGAACTCTAGCATCTTTGCGGTGCTCATTGTATCACTCAGACCAATTTTAGGACCTCCCAAGGCAACAAGAGATTTCTCCCAGCCAAATGTTACTTTTAGTTGGGCCTCTTCCACGTCTCAGTCTGATTCTGATGGCAGTATCAAAAATGAATTGCAAAACTTGAAATCAAAAAGGGATGCTGCCTCCCTCCCTTGTTTCTGTGGAAGACACAAGACATATATTGATAATTGTTGGACCATTATTAGTCCTGGAGATGTGAAAGTGGTTAGGATTTTTGGTGTTAAATCAGGCATGTTTTTCCCCTCATAATCGTTTTGGCCATATCAGGATTATTAAATGTTTTTGTGCAGAACCTGCTGTACATCTCTCTCTCTCATGTGACTTCATACATTCTTTAGCCATCAAGAGCAAACAAAGACTGTGTAGAAGTTTGGGGCCTCTTTGCCTGATTCATGCACGGCACTCGGATCCAAATCCTTTGGAAGTTTAGGGAATTTCTTAATTCATTCATCAGAATTTAAGGAGAGATTTCTTTAGAAAATCATAATTAAAAAAAGCCGTAAGAGACAAGGGAGATGGTCAGCTTTCATACATCAAGGATCTTACCATGTGATAGACATTAAAGGCTTCCAGGCTGTACTGCAGGAGAATAAGGATCGTGTAAGGAAATCTCTTTGTCCAGACTGATATTGAAGCCCTTATTTTGTCAAGCTGATACAGTGTAGAGGACTGGGCTGCGAATGCAGGTAGAGCAAAGCTGAACACTTCGTTTGTTTCTGATGTAGCTAGCTGATGTTCAGCATTCTTCCGGTTACACACCTGCTTCCAAAATGCTCCATGAAAAGAGGCCAAGTTTCACCAGATGGAGGAATTCTTCCCTGGAGTTCCTCAAAAGCCACTTGGACACAACCCTGGGCTATGTGCCAGGGGATCCTTCTTGAGTAGGGGGTTGGGATGGGTAATCTCCAGAGATGCCTTCTTGCCTCGACTGTTCTATGATTCTGTAATTAAGAGCTTAGAGGGAAGGGCAGAGGAGCACGTAGTAACCCTTCCTGTTCTTGTGTTTTGAAAAGTAGAGTTTTTCTGGCATTTCCATAAACTTTGTCTTACAGTGGTTGATTCTGGTGGTGGTGCATGAATATCTGTCGTTGCCCCCTGACAGTGAATGAGAACTGGCTTTGCACCTAATGCAAACATGAATTTAATGTAGGGCCATTATTTCACTCAACAATGAATTTGCAGATCGGACACAGAATTCCCAGCCTTGGTGGTGGAGGGAATGCCTTGTCTGATCCAGCAGCTCTCTGGCACTTCTCAGTGTTGTTAAGGGTTTATTTTTTACATACCAGAAGAAAAGCACTGTGAAATTGGCGCAGGACCAGGGATGAACAGAAATTAATTTGCACTCTTCTCACCGTGCTGGATGGATGTGGGATCGGGTGGGGATTCCTGCCTGTAGGCGAAGGATAATGCGAGCAGCTTCCTGAGCTCCAGCTGCTGTGGACAAAGGACACAGAGCAGCAGAGATTCCTGGAGGGAGGAACTTTAAGATGGAGGAATTCTGAAGAATGCGAAGGACAACCTCTTAAAAAATTGTAGGTGGAGCAATTCCATGTCATCCAAGTGCTTTGTAAGCTTGAGATTGACTTTCCTACTTTGAAATAGCTGCTGTTGTGACACTTTCTTTTGTGCTTTTTAACACTGACTGTGACCTCTGCGTGATTGCATAAATTGGCCCGAGTGCTCTGGAACAGTTATTAGGAGCCCCTTTCTTGTGTCGTTTCCTGAATTCCCACATTGTGGCGTGATGTGTGTGGAAACTGCTGGCTTCCTCCAGTGGCAGCCGTTCCTCCAGCCTGTGTGTGCTGGGATCCTGGCAGAGGGAGCTGCGGGAGGACAGGATTGTTAGAGAGAGAATCTGCCTTTCGTGCATCTTCTTTTCCAGCTCCGATAAAGCTGTTATCTCCAACTGTGTGGGCTAAGCACGAGCAGCTAGTGCCCTGTAGAATAAACAGCAGCGAATGACTTGAGGTTAACGTGCCTCGGGCAAGGCTAGCTGCTCTTCAGTGCCTGAATGAAGCAATATTTTCATCTTCCAATGACTCTACCTTCTCTCTTTACTCCCCACTCCATTTTCTTGTGGTGTGTGGGAGGAAGGTAGGATGTGTGATTGAAGCATAGTTTATAACTCCTTAATTGACTGTAGCTGTGTAATTCCCTTACAAATCCACCCCAAGCATCTAGCAAATATGTGTTTCATTAATTTGTTCTGTCCTCTTTTTTTTTTCCTTTTTCTTTTTTGCAAACTCTAAGGTTATGTGATGTTAATGAGTTGTTTACATATGTTTCTGCATTTATTCCGCCAGCGTTCCAGTGCATGGAAATCAATTACAGGGGAAAAGAATCAATGTTTATATATGGCTGCATTTCTGAAGTTTAACTTCCTGAACTTTTTTTCCAGATTCTTCTTTTAAACAGTAAGAGTTGTGAATGTTGGAAAGGAGTCATTTCCTTTGCGCAGCTGAAGGGTCAATGGCTGGACCAGGTTATCTTTTCTCGCACGAAGAGCTTGGATGAATTCAAGTCTGTAGGCCAAGTTTCACAGCACAGAGATTTGACATATGGATGCTTTTGGCACGCTGAGTCCTTTGTAAATGGATCGCTAGGCCAAGCCTTACTGAGCAGGCGCTGCTTAATGGGCTCCGTATTTGCAGTCAGGTCTTAACATACCTGACCTGCTGTGGGTGCGCTGCGGCTGCTTCTCCATCCTCCTTTGGCTCCTTTCTGAAGCCATGTGGCTTCAGAAGGTGCCAGGCTGGGAGCTGCCACATTGTGCCTGTCCTCCTGTGCCCGCAGCTGGCAGTGACCTCAGCAGAAGGGTCCGGCTGTGCTGTGAGCACAGGCCAGGGGAGGCAGCGGTGCATGGCGAGGAAGGCAGGGTACTGTGGTTTGTACACAAACACGTCTGTGTTGAAGACCTAGCTTGTTATCTGGCTCTCGTTTAAGGCTGGGGATTTGCCTACGTTACAGCATCAGAGATGGTAAAGGTGCTCACCCCGTTTCAAAACCGGGGCTTTGGCACTCAGCAGCAGGAGTTGGTGTTGTGAGAGCAGCGCTGCCCTCTAGCACGAGGTCCTCCTAAGCAGGGAGGCTGCATCTCCCTGATGCAGCTGAAATGCTGATCCTCACAGCCACCTGGGGCCCTTTTACCCCTGTGGGAGGAGGTGGGCACGAGGGAGGCCGGATCATGTGTGTAAAGCCACGCTGTGTTCTAAGCTGAAATCCTCCAGGAGCTGAAGCCTTCAGTGAAAATCACCTCTGTGTGGTTACTCCTACGGAGGAAAATGGGGAGGGCTCACAGCCACCCTCGGGTTCTGCCGTGTCGGGCTGGTAGGGGGCCGCGGATGCTCAGAGCGAAACAACGCGTGATGAGTGTTTTCGTTTTAAGCGGAATGCGATACGGGGGGAACTCCTTTAATATCCCGTCTCTACGCGGTTGGCCACGTATGCTGGCCGCACTTTCCACTATCTCCAGCGTCCGAGTAGCAGAGCGCGGGGCGGGGCGGCCCGGGGGCGGGGCGGGGCGGGCCGTGCTTCTTGCCCGCCCTGCCGGAGTGCCGCCCGCGGGGCGCTCCGCGCACAGAGAGGCGGGAGAGGCGCGGAGCGGAGCAGTGTGCGAGCATCGCGGGACGCCTCTGCCCTGCCCCGCCCTGCCTCGCCGCGCTCGGCCGGCTCAGGTAACCGCGGGACGAGGCGCGGAGCGGAGGGAGCCCGGCTGTCTGCCCCAGCCGCGATGCTGCGGGCCCCCGCTCCCCGCTGACGCCGCGGCCCGGGACGCGGGGCTGTTCTGCTCGCTCGTTCCGCCGTTCTCGAGGCGCCGAGGGCTGTGCGCGCGGCCCGGCTGGCTGCGTCGGAGCGCTGCCCTCCGTCCCGGTCGCCCGTCTCTGAGCGCGTTCGTTTCCAATAAAAAGAAAAATCCAGCCGCGGATCCGCCTCCAACCGCGTCCAAGCCCCTGCGGAACCCGGTACATTTGTGCCGCTAACATAGTTTGCTTCCCTCTTCGGTTTTATTGACGCTGAGGATGAAGAAGGATTTGCAAGCAAAAGCGCCTTGAAGCCAACATCATTTGGAGAGAGCCCTGCAGCTCACCCGTTGGGTCTCGAATTCCACCCTTTGCCCCTGCTGAATCCGCTGCTCTGCCCTTTACTCTCCAGGGTAAAAAAACAAACAACAACAAAAACCCGAGGAAAAGAATACCTTTGGCAGCAGGGCAGCTTTGTGTGGCCACCCCGGCGAGCTCCAAGTGTCCAGTTTCTGAAAAGAAGAAAATCCTTTTGTCTTCAGCAGATCAGTAGGTAAGAGACTCTCTCATGGCACAGAGATGCAGCCAGAGCTGAGAGACAGGCCGGCCCTGTGGGCTTTTGGCAGTTGTTTCTCTCCTGCAAAGACTGCTCTTCATCTTGCAAACCGACACATAAAATACCCTTACCGTTTCACCGCTGTCACTAAATATTAACTAAAATTAATAGTTGTGTGCTCGTGTGTACTTGGAGAAGCAAAATTTTTTGGAAGGCACTGAAGTGGGTCTGTGTCAGCCACATTTCTTGTGGCTTTCTTTTCAGAAAGCAATCACTGTTGTTGTGCTTGTTGTAATCCACGTGTCCAGGTTGTCGTTGCTTGTGGTGCTCTGCAGAGAATCGTGTACGTTGATCTATGCATGCATGTGAGTAGGGCTGCTGCTATCAGTTGGAATTTCTCATTCCATGCTGGAGTTTGTTTTCCTTTAAGTGCCTTAATCCTTGTGTCACAAGGTGTGGAAGTGTTGAGCCTGTAATTAAGGTGTATTCACCTCTTATCAGCCTATTGGATGTGGCTGGTAACAAGCTTGGCACTGTACAGAGTTGAACATGAAGATATTTTCTTTGTTTTTTGTGTTTTTCAAGTAAGGCTGAAAGTGCAGCAGGGACATGTGCACATAATAACTGGAAGGAGGCCCAATCTGTGCAGGGAAACATGTTTTTGAGCATACTTCTTTCTCTAGGGGCCAAGTGCTGGATGTGTGCTGTTTTACAAGTGGAAATACTGCTGTGAGTTTCTGATCTTTCTTTCTCCCCCAGCTCTGTCTTTGTCCCCGCTTCCCTAGGCCAGAGTTCCATTGCTGCTGGGCTTTTGTGCAAGGGAAGAACCTGTGGAATTCACGTGGCTCATAGTCGGACTCCTCCTTTGCAGGGAGGATTGTATTGTTCCCCGTGGAAGCACGCAGCATCCCCCAGCAGGAGGATCTGGCTGTTTATATAGTGAAACCAGCCTTGACATCATGCTCTTCCCCACTGCGTGGGTTGTTCCTGCCGATGATACAGGAAATGCTAAAGATCGGTCTGCTCTGCTCCCTGTTCCTCTTTTTTTTTTTTTTTTTTTTCCTGTTCCTCTCCTCCTTAGGAATGTAGGTGGGAAAAGAGAGTGGAAAAGGTGTGCTGTTCTCCTTACGGGGGAGGGCAGAAGCTGACAGACCCTCAGAGCTGAGGTGTAAGAGCTTGCCTGGGGCAGGTGTCCAACCCAGCTCCATCAGAGGACAGGACACAGGTTTTGGCTGCTGTCTCACTGTTTTCCACCATCATGACTTCTTCTGATGACCAGGTCTCTCTACCAAACCACAGGTGGGATCACAAGAACTATTTTCTCAAGCTTATGCTGTGGCTGCATTAGTGATGGCAACACTGCGTTGGTTGTTCAGGACTGCTAGAAAAAAAGGAACCTTACCGCTGAGCCCATGACCCTTTTAAATCTTTGGGTCATATTTGGACCAGGGCTCTCTCATTGACTGCTGCTTCTAGCTGTGGGTTGGTTCATGGCTAGCCCTTAAAAAGCTAGTCCTGTGGTAGAAGTCAGGGTTGGGGGTTTATCCAGAGTGCTTGATCTCCCTCTTTTTCTCCAAGACTCTTAGTTGCAACAGAACCTCTATCCTTAAAACATTAATGGGAACCTCAAACACAATGCAGAATGGTTTCTTTTTGCTGTCCTTGAACAAAGGAAAGGATTCCCATGCGGACAGAAGGAGGAGTCTGGTCTCCCTGAACTCGCTGTTACTGCACTATGAGCAGGCAGTGGGGGCCATCCAGTGGGACGTGGGGCTGTGGGTTCCTTTGGCAGTGCCAAGACCTCATCATTTTGGTAGTGTTTGCGTGAAGCATATTTGAGTTGTGGTGGCTGATTAATGTACTGATACCGTGGTCTTTATTCTACCTGCTTGTGGTGATGCACGACATCGGATTGTGCCATAAACTTTGAGGAATCAGAGTATTGCTCTTTTGCAAAGCGTATTTGAGTGACTCTGGACTAACCCGTGGCCTGCTTTGCACTGCAGAGCGCCGCAGATGCACCACAAGGTTTTCATACGCCTGTAATATGAATGTATAAAAATTCTCTCCAGTCTGTAATGCAGCTCAAAGGGCAGCTGATTTAGATGTGCTTGAGTGTTAAGGTCAGGAGATCACATTCCACAGGTTACTAGATGAAAGTGCTTGAAGAGGGTGTAGCATAAATATTTGATTCATATAGAAGGGATTGGTGCAAATCCTTTTGTTCCTTCTCCAAAGATATTCTGTAGGCAAGGCCCTGGTAGGGGAAAAAAGAACTGACAAAAGCGTGCAACTTCTTTGTGCTGGAGGAAGTAGGACGGAAACATAGTGCATTGTTAAATTCCACAAAAATTCTTCTCTTGGGATACTCCATCTTCAGTTACAGCTAAGAGAACTAATGTTCTTAAATGTGAAATGACTCATAATGCATGAGCTCTTGAAGTTGGGTTTAACACTGTATGCAAACATTGCCAGCTGGTGGGGATTTTTCTGGATAAATAAGAGCTATATTTGTCCAAGAAGACTTGAATGATATATTTCAGATGCGTCCTGATTAGCATAAGCCATTCACTTTGTAAAAGTACAAGAATCTCAGAAGTGTAGATAACTTAATAGTCCTCTTGTTCTCTTTCTCCTGTGCACCAGCAGTCTGACTGCTCTTTTGGTTTATTTAGAAGTGAGGTTGCATTGCCTTACTGCTGTGTTTTCCGAACCCTGACAATGAAATTGAGAATCTGCAATCCCTATGTTCTCCATACATAAACCTTTTCCCCCTTTTATCTTTTATCTTTTCTTTTTTTTTCTTTTTCTTTTTTTTTTTTTTTTTGACTTCCAGTTGAGTGTAATGTGGGTTGTTTGGTTTTGGTGATTTTTTGTTGTTGTTGGAAAAACATGCACTATTTAACTCTGTACAGTGTTCAGCACATGATGTCTTGGCCCCTGGTTCAGGCTCACTGTCACTATAATGAAGTAAAATTTCAGCTCATTAAAGGCTTTCTTTTATTAACGTAGAGCAAAATCTGGCATAGGTTTTGGTTGTTGCCATATCAATGTATATGCAGAAATAAGTCTTTAATTCTAATAATTAATAAGTCTTGAATTATCAACAGCCCAAGTACATGTTAATGTAAAATACTTGTAGCTGCGAATAGGTCTGTCTGTTCATATCTCTCCGGGGCACAGCTCTGGATTGCAGTTCTTGCTTCATTCATACTGACAGCTCTTGAAGAGCTGCAGAACTGTAACCCAATGGAAAGAAGAAGCCCAATGTAAGAAAGTTCTTATGTGTTAAGGTTTTGTATTAAACTAACTAAAGCCTGGTTCCAAACACCTGTGAATTATGAGATTCTGTGTGCAGGGTAGAACAGGGTGTGTTAGGCTCTGTTCTGAATTAGAAAACTCTGACCTCGTTCTTGGCAAAAGATTCTTGGATTATTAGACGTTCCCACATTGGAGTGAAGTGTAAATGCTTTCAGAATAAAGTAAGATGCCTGTTTTCCCCCATCCAACTTTTGTTGGACATTCCCATATTTCAGGGTATTTTCAGACACTTGTGAAGAGGCTTTCTGAAAGGTTTCCTAACGGAAGTTTCCTAACAGATTTCTTTCCTTGCTATTGTGGACGATATAGTGGGAGTGGAATGTCCTTACTTGCCAATGTTTGCTGCTAGGTATCCCCCCTCCATGGAGACCAGAAGTTTAGAATAGTGTGAGAACAGCCATTCTTGATGATTGGCAAAGAGGCTGAAGGCTCTCTTTCTCCTCTTCTTTGCCCTGAAAAACAAGGGAGAACTTGGATCTCTTGGTTTTTCAGAGAAGTGTTCCAAATTGCCCATTGCCGGGGCTGTAAAGTTACAGGAAGCAGTAGAGGATTTGTCAGAATGATTTAGTCCATTGTGCTGAATCTGGGCCACAGGCAATTTCTGAGAGCTTGTTTTCTGCTGGCTGGGATTCTTTGCTTCTCTTGCTTTCTGACGTGCAGTTGCTTTTTTGATCAGACTTCTGCCTTCCTCGTATGTGTGATCTTCTCTCTATGTGTACCCATATATGTCATCTTCGTGTCATGGGCTCTAAGTCATGATCTTTCTGAACAAATAGGCTCACAGCTGCCCTGTGATCCCAGGCTGGCTGCAGGAGCTTCACAGTTGTTAACCTGTTAGACAGGAGGGAGCACGTTCCCAACCAGCTCTGGAACGCAGCGCTGGCCGCAGGAAGTCGCACCGCGGCCTCTGTGTCATGGTCATATCAACTGCTCTGTGTAAGCATTTGGTTTGTGCTTTAAGGAGATCTGATGCTGAGACTGTATCCATGTGAAAATGTTGCACTGTTGGGTAGGAGAACTCTGGAGTCAGCAGATATCCAAATCTTGCATGTTGCTTGGCTCTCCTGAGTAGTTCTGAAATGTAGTCTTCAAGAAAAACATCTCAGCAACTTTGGAGAATGATAGTGTGAAGGAGGCCCGAGGAGCAAATCATTTTCAAGTATGCAGCATAGTATTTGTCTTGCTTACTATGCCTGTAGGTGAGAGGAGTTTTTCACGAGTACTGCAATTTGCATTTACCTAGATACTCAAATTTAATTTTTAAGTAATGATATATTTGAAACTTGCCTGTGTGAATCTGTATGTAAATGGCCATTCAGGGCAAACCAGGCACCTGATTTAAGCGAGAGATGGGTTCATACTGATGAGTTGGTGAGCAAATAGGAATAGGTGAATGAAAAGAAAAGGTTCTGCACAAAGCAGAAAACAAAGAACAAAATGAAAAGACCCATGGAAGCAGAATTCTCAGGGCTTCAATATACTGTAGTTGAGTCACAGCAGTGTGAGCACATAGCTTAAGCTAAGGAAGAACTTATGTTGCAGGTTTGTGCAACACCTCAGGATCACAGGTTGTGGTTGTCATTTGCAGCAGTTGTCATGGTTGGTTGTGAGCAGCTCCTCTACTGCTGGCGCTGAAGAACCAAGGGCTCTCTTCCTTCAAAGAGCTGAATCTTCCT